ATCAACTGAATTAGATCTTTGAAAATGAAGTTCCTTCTCTGAGGTCTCTCATCTCCTCAGGGTTGTGGGAGAGGAGCTATCTGAGTCGGTAAACCTACTTCAGAGATGAGGGAATAGAAAGAAAATAAACTTTAAAGTACAAACACTGCACTTCAAAGTTAGGAATACTAAACCAACTATGAGCACCACTGATTTTAAACAACTGAGTTACACATTTTGCTTGCTGCCCCTCTCTCCTGCCACACAGCATTTCTAATCATTAAGCATAAGATATTTATTCTGATTTTTAAGTTTCCTGGAAGGCAGAGGACATTAATCTCCTGTGGAGAAAGGCAATGCTTCTTATTCAAAAGTGCAGGAGCATTTGAAACATTCCCAAATTCTAGCTAAACAAGTCAGCACAGCCACTAAAGAAAAAAATAAATCTGTGTTCTTCCTTTCTCACAGGTCAATTATCACACAGAGCATGGGAAGCTGCCAAGAACATTGCTATGTTCAGACACTAAAACTTGCATTTTATTTGCCTGCAGCTGCATTGCACAAAAAAGGGAGTGTTAACCCCCCTCCCCAAGACAAAACATGACCTACCCCCAAAGCAAGAGGTGATTGATTCCCTGTTGTTTTTTTTTTTCTTTCAGTGTATTATTACTTATCTTTTGTCCCAAATGCCATTTCCCTAAAATGCTTTGCTTGCAAAGTATTGATTTTTTTCCCCTCATTTCTTTTCATCCTTGTTTACCAGCACAGATAGACAGATACAGCAAAAAGAGTAATGAAGCACCATTTAATGTTTTTCAGGTTCAGATTTCAAATTTGCCCAGCATGCTCCCTATTTTATTTTCAAAGATGCTCTCCCCTGGCCTTGAGTTGTAACAATTTAAAATGAGATTTTATGCAAGATCTATTTTAAATGAAATGAGAAAAAAATAATCCCAAAGCTCTATAAAACTAATTTTTTTGCATTAAATTTTCAGACATAAAGCCAAGTTTCCAAATTTCTAGCAAATGCCCTACTTCTTTTGTCTAAAATAAAGGTACTACTAAGCAGCATCACTGTATGAGAATTGGAAGGACTCCAGGATTTAAAATGTGAAGCATGTGGTTTCCTCAGCAACCCAGAAAATGTATTTTGGTGCCTACTGGGTATCAGTGATGATGCCAATTGTCATGTTAATTTTTCAGATCTTTGCTGTTCAAAATCTTCTTCTGTATCTTTTAACTGATCTCTGATCAGCCAGTAAACTTTCATTACTTTCTTCACCTTGATTTTTGGATGACAAAAATATATACATTATAGCTCACCAGCTTTAACCAATACAACAAAAATAGTGGTTCATAAAGCAAAGCATGAGGTGTCTGTGTCAATGAATCCAAACAGAGATCCAAAAAAAAAGGTGCATTTAAAATAATTTTTTGTTTCAACAGCAACTATTTAGGATAGCAGAGTTTTGGGCACCACACCAAACAATTCCTTGTCAGTGTCACCAGAAAAGGTGATTGCACATCTGAAAAAGTCACAGAAAATGAAAAAAATCATGAGGTCCAAATACCCATTCAACTGTGGCTACATTCCAGTACAGGCAATCTCAAAATTCCAAAAGAACTAAGCAACTCTTCTTAAATGGCCAAGTTATGCAAGTAATTAATTTTTAATAAATTCTGTTATTGTCAGATCTTTATCACTTTGGCTTTTTCTCCAAATTTTCTTTGTACCTAGCATTAAAAAAATATTAGTGTGCAAAATTTAGTTGATTAGAATACAACTTCAAAAATATCTACCTTCAGAAATATGTAAATTCAGAAATATCTAACTTCAGACATGTCTGAGTACATGCTGAGGAAAATGTACTTGGTGAAAACTGATTGAATAGTATCTACTAATCCAATTCCTGATTTGGTAAATTCCTTCAACAAGATGCCACATCTTTACCCTGTTCCTTCTCATAACTGCTGCTCCCAAATACATATTAATTCCATACAAAAATATTAATTAACACTATATAAGGACTTTTTGTACCACGTGCCTTTCATGATTTTCCACTGTATTCACTTAAAATGCCTGAGTACCACTTAAACTATGTCAATAAACTTAAAACAAACATTTACTATCAGATAATTAAACCAGCAAGAGAAAAACCCAGACAAACTACAATCTATAATATCTAGGATCTCTGAAGATACTTTAAACTAGACCTTCAGATCTTCAACTAGAATCTAAGACTAAAACCTGATCTGTCTGAACACACCAGTTTGTAACCAGAGAGAGGAATAAAAAGACTATTGTGCATGGAGGTAAAAGTTTAAGATTGCCTTTTTAAAAAAAAAAATTAATAGCAATAAATTTCTGTCCTGGAAGATGTGAAAGATAGCACTTGGATAAAGAAGAAAACAAGATGAGCACCTTAATAAGATGCACTCTAGAAATGCAAAACCAACAAAACCAAATCACAGTTTACAAGGATTAAGAGAAAAATATTTATATGAGAGGCACTACAGGCTTCTGAGTTTCCAGGCAGAGGGCAGAAATAGCTATCTGTGCAGTCAAAAAAGATCAGACGTATATACCAGATAAAAATGAGGACTCAAATTTTTTCCCTAGCACCTGAAACAGATTTTATGCAAGTTCTCATAACTTCCACAATCATACATATTAAAAAAATCAGACAAATCCTTCCTTAGGTATTTTCTCAAGCTCTGCTTTTCTGTGGAAAAATGTTAAAGAGAAGAAGAAAATGCAAAGCCCTATCTACAGAAAATCCCACACCTAGTCTTCAATTCCAGGTCCGGACAAGTAATTAAAAATTGGAGTTAAAGACATCAATTCTTAAACTTCAAAGGGCTGAAATTCCAGTTATTTACCCCAGGCTATACAAAAAACCAAAAAATAATTCCATATTGCACCACAAACGTCAGATAAAAGAATTGTCACCTGGATTCTCCACAAGAATATTCTAGGTTAGCTAGTTACAGAAACAGAAAAAAAAAACCAACCTTTGAATTTACAACTCTCACAATTTAACTGTTGATGTTAAAGAAAATGCCTCCAGCAACTTCAAGGCTAAAGCAAATTCAAATCTCTGCATGTGATTCTAGTTAGCAGCAGGAAATAGACATTTTCCTACAGATAGGTTTATGTATTTTATAACACATAAAAAGAGAAGCTGAGGATGCTCCATCCCTGGAAGCATTCAGTGCCTGGTTGGACAGGGTTTGGAGCATCCTGCTCTAGTGGAAGGCATCCCTGACTATGGCAGGGGCAACTGGACATGGATGATTTTTAAGTCCATTTCAGCCCAAAGCATTTTATGGTGCTTTGTTTCAGTAGGTTTTGTTTTCTTCTTGTTTAAGAAGCTCAGAGAGAGTTTTACAGAACACCATAAATTGCAGTTTATTATGGCAGTGCTATCCTCAGTGGAGCTATCCAAGAGAACAGGACCTCAAAGCTTTCACTCTTAAAAGCCTGGGTCTTTTCTTTCCAACCTGAAAAGAACAGGTACTTTCACTTGAAAGCAGCAGGGAACAGTCCTGAAAGAAACAGGTCAGACACATGAAGACACAAAATGAAACTGTCTCAATATGGATTACAGTGGTCTCAAAAAAACAAGTATTAAAAAAAGGACCTTTAGAGCTGCCTATAAATGATCTAATGAAAGATCATTCTTAAGTGTCAAGTAGAGCAAGAAACCGTGTGAAAAAGCAGTGTAAAAGTGAATGGAAATTAAACAACCTCAGTGACATTTAACATTTACGCAAATGTCAGACTCCCCACCCCTTGGTTAAACACTCAGTTGGGATCTCAATCTCTGTCTGGAGGGTACACAACCCATTTTGTAAAACAAAAAAAAAACACAGCACAAAAATCAGAAATCTGTGTTTCTTAAAAGATGAACAGACAAAAAAAAAAAGAGACTGTGAAAACTGGGAATTAGGGCTCTGCTCTAGAAGTATCAATTACTTATTTATGGCTGAAGTCCATGAACTTCCATTCCTTCATGACATTTGCTGTAACAGAACTGAACGTGACCTAAACCCTCATGATTTATGGTTATAGACAAGAAAAAAAAGCATTGGCCAGGTGTCAAAAATTAATCAATATTCTGAACTATTAATATCACAAGAATTCCGTAGAATTGTTTAAAGGTCTAGGAAAAAAACCAGAACAAAAAACCCCACATCCTAATACACTGAATAAGAGCTCCAAGAACAGCTTCTCTAGAGATACAGAGAAAAAAATGTTCTTCAAATTAAAATTTATTGCACTACATGCATTTTGCTCTTTTTACCCTGTGTAGAGGAAAATTGGGATATACTGTGGGTGCAATTTGCCACCAATCAGCCATAATGACACCCCTTGCCCTAAGGCTCAATCCCCTTTGGGATGCCTCTCTGATTTGTCTGACACTGTCTACATGGTTTTTCTTTCCCAGACCTCGCCCAGTTCACTGATAAGGTCTACATTTTCTTATCCAAAGAGATATGAAGGATAGTCTGATTATCCTATTCTAGCACTTCCTGAGAAATATTAAGTATGATAATACAACATTTCTAACAAGAGTTATACAAAATTCTTCACAAACTTTCCAAGTCAGTTACAGAATAATCACCCTAATTGCTTCTACTGACACAACCCCTCATTCCTTCAGTCACATACTGAAGTCATGATCAGCCAGTGGCCTGTGCTTCAAATCAGCATAGCTTTGCTAAGTTGGGTGGGAAAGGATTGATTTTTCAGATGATGTGTCCTTATAAAAATGCCTCAGCCACTGGTAATATTAAAATGGAAGCAGATGCAGCACATGCAATCAGAAAAGGCAACAACCTGTTGAATTCCAATTTTTTGTCAAAAATTCAAATAAATTCATTCTTCATCATATTCCCATTACATCAATGGACTCAAACATTAATCTCCAGAATGTACACTCTTGCTCAGACTTCTTGACAGCCTTGGAAATTGAGATACACCAGAGGAGTTTACCTGACCTAGAGCTCTCCAATCTTACCTTCTTCTGAAGAACATTAACTTTGCGTTCCTTCACCTCCAGCATGTCCTTGAGGTCGTGGATCTCTCCTGCTTGAGTCCCCTTCTCCTCTGCCATCTCCTGGATCTGCTTTGTCTTCTTATTCAGCATGGTCTCCTTCTCTTCCAGACGTAACCGCAGCGCATCCACCTGCATTCGGAAATGCAGAACAAGCTTTGCTTAGCACAGGGACAGAAACTTCAGGGGAGTTAAACTACACTTCCACAGGGGAAATATTACAAATAGATTCAGAAATTGAACACCCCTTTCTTTAAGAATTCAACATATGTAAGATTGGGGTGAAACAGTTATCATAACTGACAGAGGATTAAATATTAAAAATAATCAACTGTATTACTCCCAACCATATGAGAATAATGCTCCTCCTTGGAAAACCTCAAATCATACTTCTCAAATAACTCAGGCCTGTATCAGACAATGCTAAAATATTTTCCTCAAAATAGAAGCCAACACAATGTGTTGTGGAGAAGCTCTCTCACACGCAGGGAAACTGACTCCTTTATTTCAAACATTACTAATAATCAGAGAATAAACATTGACTACTTGTACCAGACAGTCACTTTATATTCCAGGTTTTGATCACAGTAGTAGCTGAGCCTGAAGGTAATGAAAGCAGAGCTCTTTGTAGCCACTGCAGATCACAACTGGAAAGAGGTTACCTTAGGATGGCTAAGAATATTTTGGCTTAAAAAGCAAAGTAATTGTTTAAATATAACGTGTTTTCCACAGCATGCAGTTTTGTATTAAAGGTAAACTTGAACAAATTACACAGTACAGGATATTTTGGGTGCAATTTGGACGCACAAACACACTTAGAGCTCCCATGGCCTGAGTGAATTTAGAAGCACACTCTAGGAACTCTGTGGTGACCTCAAACTTCAAAACTGCATGTTGAGCATCTTTTGCTTTTCCTTCTGCATTTCTCCTCCATATGTGAAACACAGCTCACAAGACAAAGGAAATGGGAGAAGGAATCAGAGCTACCTGAATATAAATTCAATGAGAAGAGTAAGGTCACCAGAGAGCACAGACTAATCTCAAAGACTATTGTGGAATACGAAATCCAACACCATCAACCCGCTCACGACACCAAAAGAAAGCCACTGACCCCTATCCACTCAGCATTCAGAGAGAGCTCAGATCTGCCAGCTTGGCTGCTAATCTTATTTGACAGTATCAGATTTGGTTCCTGTTAGCTGAATCCATTACAGGACATCAGTCACACAGAGTAAACAGGCTGATCAATGAATTTCTTGGTCCTTCTGCACAGCACAGACTAGCAGAGACATGAAGTGAAAGGATGACAACGACTGAACAACCCCAGTTGGGGTAAGAATTTAGGAATTTACTCTGTTTATGGTATTTTGTGCAACATGTAGTTTTAACACGTTATTCTAATTCCATTTTATTTTGTGTTGCTAATGGAAAACTTGTCTCTGAGGCTCTAGATTTCCAGTGTTCCACCCACAAAACCCTTTGGTGTTTTGTCTGCCTCCTTTCACACAGAGCAGTAAGAACCTTCCCTCTTTTCCAGGGGAAAGAGCTGCCCTGCTCTCCCCTTCAGCACTGCAATCCTGCTGCCACCTCTGTGTCTGGAGCCTTCTCACTCACACATATGTTATTAAAATCACATTCCTGACTTCTCACCCAGCAAGTGGGGCATATAGTGTCATCTGCAGGGATATTAGAGTACCAGGTCTTACCCAAATCTGATTTATAGTGTTTGCAATGAAAGGTTTAGCAGGTGGATCATGCTTAGTCTTCTTCTTTAAAACATACAGTTCTATAGATTGATTAGGTATGTTCTTCTCTGGGAATCTTTGACATTAAAGGTAAGAGTCACTTTCATTAATTCTTCAAGGGAAACAGAAAATCTCCCTCAGGAGAAAATAGACATACTCTCAACAGTTGTGTTGCAAAGTATTTGAGACAGTCCAGATGTCTACAGCACAGTATTAAGTCAAAAGAGAACATCTGCAAATAGAAATTTATCCACAGAATGCTTTCCATTTTCTGATTGATTATTCTCTTTGAACTCTATATTAGCTTATGGTTTGGGGTAAATTGCATTCCTGGTTTTATTTGTGTGAGGTCCTTGCCTAGGAAACCAAAGAAAACACTTTCAAAAGTATTTCCAAAGGCTGGCAGGACACACAGTCATCACCTTAGCACTATTCCTGGCAGAACACTGCACTTGTTTATCCATGTCAGCTCAGTTTATGCATGGCATCCTCCCACAGTGACAAGAATTGAGGTCTGTGGGAGACAGATGATGCCAACTTCAACAGAGTCAGCTCAGGATTTTCTCAGCACACGAAGCTATCAGGCAAACACTACTGAGGTGCTGACGCCCCTTCTCCTGAATTCTGGTCCTGGATGGTTTTGTCTTAACCCTGTGTTAACCCAACTGCTTTCCCAGTAAAGGACTGCCATGTTTTAATGGTGCATGGCAGGTAAAACCTGGCAGTGCAGCTCAGGCCAGTCCTTCCTGTCACAAGGGGCTTGGTCACATTCCCTGCCTGGAGCACCCAGCTGCTCACCAAGCTTTAGCACAACAAGCACACCTCTGACCCCCCTAGCTACAGGGGACCTCTCTTCAGGTGGATACCACACAAAAGACTAAATGTCTTCATTCTGATATATGAAAAACTGCAGTGGGGACCACTGATTTGTCTTCACAGAGTTTTCCAGTAACTGTAAATAACATTTTATGTCTCCGTTCTTAATGTGTGTCATACATTAAACATGCAGAAGTCCAAATTTCTAAGGAAAATTAGTCCAATAGTAGCTCAAATTACCACCAGAATAAGCACAATAAATGAAATTATATTTAATATAAATCTCATCTTAAGCCTTTTTTGAATGTTGAATTCTGTAATGACAGTCTCAGCTTTCAGAATATTTCCAGGCTACAGGGAAATAATTTACATTTTCAGAAGTCCACAGTGAGTTTCAGACCTCACTGAGTTTTTCACTGTGCTCCTGAGTTTCAGGAGCTTGCATTAATAGGACTGAGACTGAAAACAAGGGGTTTTTTTCTGAATTTTATCACCATCTCCACTGTACAGTGGCAACCAGGTTATTCCAACCCTGCTGATTCCCATTTAGGTTTAAGAAGATGTCAGTGATGCCTAGAAAAAACAGCACACTCACTTTTCCTGAGTGATTCTTCACATCTACCCAATACCTGTTCAAACCAGGGCTAAACCATAATTTAGATCAGTGAACCAAACCATACCTCACTCAGTGGTATCAGAAGGTACAACCTCCCCTATGCTAATTAACAGCAAAATTCTAAAGTTTAATTCTCTGTAGGTGTGACTACAGTAGGGGCAGCAGAAGGAAGAGGTGGAATACCAATCCTGAAATGTGTATTCGAGAGCCTGCAATTCTAACAGGAGCCAGCCACTTTTTAAAGCAGATGTTGAAGTAATTCTATGTCAGCATTCAGAACTTAAAGATCATTGAGAAATACACAGAGACATGAAATTAAAATTGGTATGTGAGGTGAAAGTTGCTTTTTTACCTACTGTAGCTATTGTTAGGTGAAGTCTCTAAGTCTGAGTACATTTTTAAAAGGAACCCTTTTGTGACATTCCATTACAACTGGCAAACATAGATAAATTCAAAGGAGTTAAGCCTTTTTACTGAGAGCATAGTCTAAATAAGACTTTAAAGCTATGTTTTTTGACTGCTTTGAATGCAGTGCTACCACAAGACTTAATCTAATTCTCTATTTTTGACACTGATTTTTTCTTTTTAACTAGATTAGAGTTGACTCTTCACCTCTTTATACCAATTGCAGCATATCCAGGATGGTCTGTAGATGAGAGTGAATTCTTCATGAACACTGAGCTCCCAGTGTCCAGCCAACTTAGATTACACAATGATGCCATGGAGCAGAGATACACACCCCTGGCTTTGTGCAGAGGGTGTTTAGCTCCTGCCAGGGTTACAAACTCAGTGCAGGACAGATGTGCTGCTCCAAGGCCTGCTCGGGTCAGAAGTCAGTTCATCTGCTCTTCCACAAGTGTCAATGTGATATTTTCTGAAAAATCCTCTTCACCAGGATTTCTTCCAATGGGAAGCTGAGAAGCCTCAGAGAGGAATGTAAAAAAAAATACGTTTGCTTCTCCTTGTGCTTTGCTGCTTTGGAATGTAGTAGGTGATTGTTTGATTGGTTCCATGTGAATTGTTTTAAATTAATGACCAATCACCACCAGCTGTGTTGGACTCTGAGGATTCAGTCATGGGTTTTTATTATTCATTCTTGTTAAGCCTTTGGATGTATCCTCTATTCTTTCAGTATAGCATTGTTTTAATATAATATATTATCATAACATAATAATAATGGGAAGCTGAGAAGCCCCAGAGAGGAATGTAAAAAAAAATACGTTTGCTTCTCCTTGTGCTTTGCTGCTTTGGAATGTAGTAGGTGATTGTTTGATTGGTTCCATGTGAATTGTTTTAAATTAATGACCAATCACCACCAGCTGTGTTGGACTCTGAGGATTCAGTCATGGGTTTTTATTATTCATTCTTGTTAAGCCTTTGGATGTATCCTCTATTCTTTCAGTATAGCATTGTTTTAATATAATATATTATCATAACATAATAAATCAACCTTCTGAGAACATGGAGTCAGATTCATCTCTTCCCTCGTCCTGGGACCCTCACAAACACCACACACAAGCTCTAGCATGAGACATTAAACACCTGAACACAGTGAACTCAGTTCTGTGAGCTCACCTCAATGTTTGCAGGTGCCAGCGCTGCGTGTTCAGGTAGCTGGTGCTGATAAGTGTTGTGAGAAACACCCAGCTCCCATTTGGACATTTCTCACTAAATGTAATCCACTCTTCTGTCTCTGATTTGGCAGAATCTACTGCACTTTCAAAATGCCAGTAGAGAAAAATCCTCAGAAAGTTTTATATTCTAATGAGACATTCAAAGCAAATAAAAACTTCCACATGATTAGGTTCATTTTTCTACTGAGTATTAATCTGAATTTACCATAGGAACAGACCAATTACAGAACCATGCCAGCTTGGGCAGTATACAAAAATAAAGGAGAACATTCTCACTGGTTAATGCAACTTCCCCCTTAAGCCACAGAACTTCTGGCACTGATCTAAGCTGAATGGCTCACTGGGTGAAAACTTTATATGGATAAAGCCTTAATTCCAATATAAATACTGACTTATTTTTTGTTTTGTTTACAAAGTGACTGTACAATTTTAGAGCTATTTTTGAAAGGTTTCTACACCAATTGAAAAGCTAACCACAATATCCTCTCCACCCAATAGCCCTCAGGATAAACACCCCACAAACAGCTCACTGCTGTCTGTAGCTCTAGTGTGGCAGGTGGCAAATCCATTTTTGAGATGTTATATCAACACTTTCCTCCTCCTGTGAGCAGGTTAATTAACAGAAGACTAAATAAGAGGTAGATGCTTACAGAGGTATACTCTTTAAACATGTTTATTTAAATATGATTTTAAAAAACTGATCCCCTATGAAGATGTCTGACAATGTATGTCAGAAACTGCAGCTCTCTTCCTCCTCACACTCTCTCAAGGTGTCTTGAGGGAAGCTAATTGTGTTTTAACATTGACCAGTGCTGTCAAGAAGTGAGGCCAAACAGGATCTCACATTCCTACCTCATTCCCAAAGAAAACCCTTGTATGGAAAGATATCCTTTCCTTTAAAAAAACCAAATCATCACAGGATGCAATGACAAACATCTCAACACTGTATGTTCTCAGCATGTTTCAGTCCTATACTTTAGAGGATCACCTGTGAATACAGAAACAGGTAATTCTGTGATAATTTAATTGTTGAGTTTTCTGACAAGAACTCCAACAAGGGTGAAAAAGATGAGATTATCTTTCAAAAAGTATAAATATCTTCTTGGAAGGGGGATTCCAGTTTGGTTTTGTGGTGCTACATGAGAACTTCATTGGCTGCTTTCTTCCAAATGAAGAACAAATATACTCAATGATTATTTAGTAATATTACAAGTTAGAGAGTAGAATAATTTTCTGTATTAGATTACTTTGGTCTTTAGGTAAAATAAAATCAAGATGTTCTGAATAACTGTCAAAAGTATCTATCAATGGTATATAACCAAGTCTTCTTAGTTTTAAATACTCAGTTTCAATTCTGGACATTTAAATTGAATAAATATGTTTATCTACCATAACAGCTGAAAATATGACCCTCTACTGCAGTGTTTTAGCTTGTTAATAAAGTAAATTTGTTCAATAACTTCACCTCTCATGGGTAGAAAAATACTACTAATTATTACTCAGAAGTGAGAAATGTGTTTCTAGTTTTGTAGGTTTGTCACAGTACTGCACATTTAACATATCTATATTCTTTTCAATCACTGCAATAGATCAAAGCCTGCATTTTACCTTTGAAAATGTTTATTTACCTAACATCTGCTTTCAATTATATTTTTAAATTTAAATACTTATTTTAAATAGTCATGTACTAATCTAGGGTACATTCATGAACTAGCAAAAAGGAATGAACAAATTTAGCAGGAGGTTTGTGATTGGAAACTGGAACATTTTCCCAGTTATACCCACTAATGCCATCTCAACCTCTACATAAATTGGAAAATAATCAGAAAAGCCATCCTGGAACACTCAAAAATATTTACTATGTAACTTCTTTACTGAATGTCAACAAGTCCATGAGCACCCAGAGATTCACCAATTTTGGCTAAAGGAAAGCTAAATTAGGGCAAAAAGTTCAGAGCAATTATCTTATGTTCTTGTAATATGGAACCTTCTACCAGTGTCACCCACAAATTTCCTGCATGCTTTTTTCTCAGCTCCTCTGGCTTTGACTCTTAGCTGTAACAACACAAAGTTTTTGATGCATCACTGCCATCTTTTGGACTTCCACTAACACTACAATTTTCCAAGCTGGGGACTGAAGTGCTGTCTGCACACAACATTTCATGCTTGTTTTTCAAGAATGTCCAGAAGCATCTAATTCATGCTGCATTCATTATCTGTTTGATGTTCAGATACACACCTGGGTCTTACGTAATATGGGAATTTATTAAGCATTTGTCATCAAAACACAGTTTAGAAAATATTTTTCCTTTACCTTGGAATATGCATTATAAACCATGAAAGTCCATTTTTATAAACCATGAAAGTCCATGAAAGCAAAGCAAGAGTTCCTGGTCATTCTATCAGTTGTGGTGGAGCCTCTGCAGAGTGTTTGCTATTGGAATCATCTTCCTTTTTTCTTCTCTCCTCTAGCTACAAGGTCACTGCAAATAAATCCTCCCAGCTCAGACACTGCAACTTCTAATTCAGCCAAGCACTTATGCACACATATTTGTCTTTAGATCAATCCCCTGGCCTAGAGAATCAAACATATAATCAAAATGTTTGATTACATGCTCAGAAAATGCTCAGAACAAGCAGCACTGGATGGCTGTGAGATTGTACAACCCAAGAACAGAAGAGATGATGGCTTTTCTCTCTTTCTCTGTGCACACTCAACAAATACAGAACTGCCCACCTCACCTCTGTCTGCAGGATGGCAGCTCTTTGCTCTTTAGCTGTAAGAGACTCTTTGAGAACTTCGATGTGCTGCTTGCTGTCAGAGAACTGATTGGTGAGGGTCTCCAGCTTGGTCTGCAGGGCCAGCAGCTCGGTGTCCTTGCGCGACAGCTCCTGTTTCACCTGGCCAATCTGCAGAACACAGACAGGACGGGCAAAGCGAGAAATCATTTGTGCCTTAATTATTACAAAAATTTATATAAAGACATGTAACTATCAACCAACAGTATGATACTCTGAAATCATCCCACAGAACTATGAAGCCTTCAGTTATCTTGAGTGACAGGCTGGCAAAAATTTGTGTCATGAGCAAAGGATACAAGGAAAAAGAGAGGGGAGCAATGCCATCAGTTTTTCAAGGGAGGTTCTTTTCGATAGTGGCAGTCTGCTGTTATTCATCTTCCAAAGGACTGACCAACCCCAGACATGTAACAGGGACAAGGTTTTAATGAAGATGAAGCAGAACTGTAACGACAAAGCACCCCTAGCCTGTAATATCAGAGCACATGAGACAGCCACAGGGCTCTCAGCAGCACAATGTTTGCTTTGAAATGTCCAATCAGTAAGTTGCCCTCCAGCTCCTCACCTATCAATCCAGCCTCATGCTTACAGAGGATTGGAAAATACCTTTATACTTTTCCCACTATTTACAAAAGCACCATTTTATTCTATGAAACTTCTAAAGTGGAAGCTTCTAAAAGCAGATGCAAATATCCATCAAGACAACATGAAAACTGTTTGTGGAATTGCATTTTGCTGAGAGCGATTTCCTAAATTTCATGTAGTGAATTAGATCAGTACAAAAGCGCAAATTTATTGTAACAAATGTGTGTTGGTTTTTTATTAAGGAAAAAAACCCAACAGTAAATATTAAAAAAAGAACCAAAATAATTATATTATCTAAAATCTTACGTGAAATCATCACTCAGGACAATTTTTATTAAATCTGAGAAAAAAAATTAATAAAAGATGACAATGAAATGTAAATGTAGTTTTAAGTCCAAGTTAGTAACCAACTTTCTGGTGTGCTTCCTATCTCACAGAATAGCAATATTTTACTGCTACATATTACATAGCACAGGTGGATGTATTTATAAAAACTTAACAGTCTTTCTTAACTTGAACAATTCTGTTTGTGACATAAAAAAATCCCATAGCCCCAAAAATACGTTGTTCATTGCTTAAAAACACGAATTAAAGGACATCACAAGATAAAAAATTGTCCAAGTCACTGTCCATGTTTGGAAACATGGCACATGAACAAATTAATAATATAGTTTATAATTTATTTTTTAAGTTCTTGATTAGAATAAATGCACATACTTGTGGAAATAACTGAGAAAAAAGAAGCTTGGGTAAATGCAATTTTAAATTGACAACAGTGTTTCAAAAATGGGAAAAGGAATAAAGAGAAGAAAACTCCTTACCAAAGAGTATTAAACTCGTATGAAAATATGTAACCCAGGACTCCTGTGTTCCAGGGTGAAACAGTGTACATGAGGGAACGGGGAAGAAGGAGGATCTCAAAAAACCTCTCAAACTCATTTTATTAAATGGAACACTGAGAAGGTATATAAGAATTTATAGAACTAGTCAATAGTTTGTTGTTTACTTAATTCAAACCTGCTACGTTGGTTTTTTTTCATATTTTACTAAAAGCAAATATGCCCAGAGGATGATTCTGCCACCTACTGCAATTCACCACAGGGGTATTGATGTCAGTGCACCATTTCTGCTGTCAGCCACCAGTTGCACAATACTGCCAGGCACAGCACAACTGCTCCAAAGAGCTGAATTATTTACTGGTTATCTTTTCTAGCGTATCTAAACAAAAAAGCCTCCTTAAAAAAATCTCAGATGACACAAACTTTTTCAATTAGTAAGTAGCCTGAATCAGAGTAAAACTTTCTCAGAAAGACAGATTGTTTTTGGGCACATCTCTGAGGAGATGGTTACCACACTTCATTAGGTGAAGATTCCCAAGTAGCACTTTGAGATTCTTGTCTCTGGACAAGATTCTTGTCTCCCATTTCAGAGCTGCAAGCCCACCCTGCCAATGTGCCAAAGCTCTTTAGTAAGAATGCAGCACACACCATCCACATTTGCAAGAGAAGTAAAAACAGCATCAAGTGCTCACATCTCTCTTCTCGATGAGAAACCGTATTCACTCTTTTGAGTGAAACTCCACAGCAAAGGAATAACCTAAATTCATGCTGCTCAAATTGAGCAATCAGTCTTAAAAGCGTTCAGCATCCCAATTTCATTATTTTTTTGTGAAACCATATTAAGAAGGTTCAACACAAGTTTTCAAATTAGTTTTTTTTTACTAGGAAAAGGAAATCTCTTTGAAAGCCTGTCCCCAAAATGGGTGCTGAATGCTTTTGAAAATCTGCTCCAGTAGAGAAGAGTAGGTTATCGCTCAAACAGCTCATATCATTAAAAAATAGCAACAAAACAAATGCAGATGTTCAGCTGGAGAGTGATGTTATTTATGGACACCAAAACCATGTGAACAAAAAGGTAGCTACAAGTCTGAGCAGGCTGTTAGTTCTACTTGTTATATCAAGCCATGAAGAAGGTAGGAGAAGAAAGTCAGAAGAGCTAGCAAGCCCCAGTGAATGGCCACTGCACACAAAAGAGAGATCTTACTGCAGAGACCTCGGTCTGGAGACCAGCCACTCTTTTTTTCAGGTCCTCCCCTTGAGCCTCTTTGGCATTTAGCTCTTCCTTCAGTTGCTCTACCTGTCACGACATTGTTATGCTTTTAAACATTTATTATTTGTCACCTTCTAGTCAGCCTGCTTCAGTCCAACTGACTGAAAGTGACAAAGAACTGAACAGAAGGGTCAAGACTGGTCACTCATTTTGTCTTCCATTCTTCAGTACGTCCTCTCAAAAGTTTAATGTCTGTGTAATTTCATATAGGCTGCCTGACAAGAATTTGATTATGAAACAGAAGATATACAGTTATGGTTATGTTTACATATGTCAAGTATGTGGCACTGATCCCAAGGGTTTTGAAACTGCAGTTCATAAGGAAATTACAACAGGAAAAAGGACATACTTCAGCTACAGAGAAATAATGTTAATTGTCAAGCTACAGCCACAAATTACTTATACAATACAATGCTGAAAAAATAAAATGCTCTGCAATTACAGAACAAGGTAGGACAGCAAGTTGTCAGGTTTGGAGATGGTCATGAGTCATGAGCAAATAGATGCCAAAAAGGAACAAATTTTCTGCAAGAAAATAAGTGAGCAGACCAGGAGACAGAAGAGAAATCAAGTAGCTGAGCAGATCTATAGATTCACAGAGGGAGAGGACAAGGGGAAATTGAAGAGTTGCAAACAATGGGAGAAGGAAAGAAAGAAGAAAAGATGGAACTGGTGCTCAAATCTCCTCCCCCGTTGCTAATGTGAACAAGGTACCCCTTCAGTTCCTATAAGCAACCCAGTGGGATAAAGAGCAGAAGTAAGAACAGATGTGGTTATCTCGAGGTGTTTCAGTGAACTGGTGTGAGGCAAGAGGAAGGAACTCACACTTAGGTTATAAAACCACATATCTGCTTTGGGGCAAGTAACGTTGCTTTCTCCAGACACTTTGCCCAGCGTTCTTTTTTTGACCAATACTTTCAAGCAGGACAAATGCAGTGGGTTACAATTGTTCAGGACCTAGCAGAGGAATTTTCAACCTCTGTTCCAGGGTTTGTATACTGCTTTCAGGAAGTACACATAAGCTAATTAAGAAAGACAGGGCTGTTCACAATATACTTACATTTACTGTACAAGAGTGCCTGAAACTTCACTAAAGAAAGTTAGGACCCACTAAAAGACTGAGAAACAAAGAATGGATTGACTTTTGCCTATAGACAATTCTGTCTTTACACCTGAGGACCAATATCTCTCACTGCTGTACTTGTCCTGTATTCCAAACAACAGAACTTAATGTCAGCACCACCACTGTTGTAGACTGCTCTCATGCTGACTCCACTGCTGGAAGGAGAGTGTAATGGAAAACCATTCTTGTGACAGTTCACCCTCTTCTCAACTTTTACATAAAGGCCAAATAGTTATACAACAACAGCTGCAAAAAGAAATACCCTCTTTTCAACAAACTACCTTTGGAAAGACATTGGACCAAATAAAACCTGAACCAATAATGGAAAGGAAAAGGAAAAGGAAAAGGAAAAGGAAAAGGAAAAGGAAAAGGAAAAGGAAAAGGAAAAGGAAAAGGAAAAGGAAAAGGAAAAGGAAAAGGAAAAGGAAATGTGTGACAATAAAAGGAAAACTTGGGCCACTGATCTTACTGAAACACCAGTAAAATATTTTCAAATTGGAATTTAAATTTTCTTACATATTTTTAAGTTATTTTAGTGGCTTCATGGGCAGTTAGTAAATCACTTCTGTTTCCCAGCATTTGACTGGGAACCCAGACCATAGCTGCTAACTAAAGCATGCACATTTCTCTGCTCTGTTCACTCAGCTGAGTTTAACACGGGGCTGTCCCTTGTTTCCTCAATACCTTGTTTTTCATGAATTTGGAATGGCTACGGTACACCTCCATCTGCTTCATCTCCTCCTCACGCTCCTCGGTGCTCAGGGCTCCGTTTGACTTCAGCATCTGAATCTCCTCTTCCAAATCCCGGAGGCCACGCTCCATGGACGAAATTTTTGAATCCTGAAAGTGATGAGAGGAGATGGGTGAGGACACGCAGTTAGGTGATTTGTTAACATGCTGTTGTAGCAAAACAAAAGGAGATACGTGTCCAATAAATTACCTGCCCTTGAAATTTACTTAGGAAATTCTTGGAGAAATAAGTGTTCAACTCTTCACATACGAGAGCTCAGATACTCATTTTTCAATTTAGTTTTTACCTTTCAAGGAAAGCAAGAATAGAGTACTGAAAGAAAACATGGCTCAGGGCAGAAATTAGAAATGTAGGATTAAATAAATAAATAAATAAAGGAACATAAGGAAATGTTGCATTTTCAAAGAGAAATTTAATTCTAATTGAATGGACAGCAAAACGTGACTGCAAGAACGGCAAGAAATTGGGTTTGCACCACTAGTTAATTTAACTGGGGTCACAAATGGGGAACAGCAAAGCACCATAAGCAAGGAAAATGTGCAACAATCTATTCTTGATTGGATAAAGCAGTAAAGGATTCTGGCTCATATGTGCAACGTATAAAACACTTCAGTGGGTTAAAAATTTGTGGGAAAACAAAGAAGTCAATCTGTCATTATCCTCATACTTTTACAGGATGATCAGAGGTATTCATTCAGTGTACCTGGTTTACTGTTTCTTTGGAAGTCTTTTGTGTTGGGAACAGCAAGAACAGATTCACACAACACACAGAGCTCTATGCACACTCATGATCATGGATATGTACTCAGGAACTATTATCTCTTAAAGCAATCTATTTTTTTCTTATTTCATTTCCCCAAAGTATTTAGTCTTTCCTGAAAGATCTGATTTGAATCTACACTACAGACTTTCACAAACAAAACCTTTCTAACTTCTTGTCTGATAAGCAAAGCACAGCTAAACAAAAAGCTCATTTTTTTATATAGGTTTTCATTCATGAGATGAATTTTTTAAAGAGCTAATTATGAACATCTAACTGGATTTCCTGCTTAATGTTTGATACTTAAGTTAAAATTTATAAAGAGGAATTTTGCAGCAAAAAATTAGAGGTAGTACAGTGAAATGATATGTTGAAATTGACAACAGTATTTAGTTTCAGTGCTCACATAATTTCCCAGAAATGTCACTGTGTGTCTCTTTTGACAGTAAAGACACTTAATGTTAGATGGTAAATTAGTTTTCATTACTATGGACCACAAAGATGACTAATAAAAGAGTTACAGCAAATGAAAGATGGGATATAAATAAGGAAAACATTGATACACAGTGGAAAAAGTTGCAGGAGAAAAAAGGAAGGAAAATAAAACAAACAGGAGGGATGCAAAATGGAAAAGAACAGCTTGCAAAGACAGTTTCCAATTTTTCAACTCTATTTGTCCAAGCCCTGTCTAATGTACTTTATGAGCAGTACAATATGAAATATGATTGCATAAAGCTGCATAAACCACACACTTGATTATGGCTCCTGAGTTCTTGGCCAATTGCCATCAGTCCATTAAGTACTTACACTAATGGCTTAAGAATTCAATCACAAATTCATCTAGAATAGTTAGGTTTATGATGGCATACAGACATATTTCTGGCTATATGACCCATTCTTTAAGTGGGTGTCGAGTTTGCTAACTTTGCTAATACACAGAATGCAGAGCAGTACTTCAAACGTTGATAACATAAAAAGAAAAGAACCCACATCATAAAATCCCACAACTCTTTCATACTAACCTATCATTCCCATTCTTCTAATATAATGAACTTTTGGTTAACTGTAAGAAATCTGTATCAGCTGCTGCAGGCAGACAGAAGACAAGTTTCTACTGTGTCTGTCTCTTCAGTAATCAACAGTAACAAATAAAATAATATTAGACAAAAAAATATAAAAATAGATTGATTTTAAATTACAAAACTGACAGAAGCATATGGTATTTGGTAGAGTCACCCTTCACATTTTCCAGAAAACAAATTCCACTGCTGCCCATAGCCAACAATCACTTACCTTCATCTCAATAACAGTTTGGAGAGCCTTTGTCTTGGCCGTGTCGGGAGCGTTCTCAAATCGACGATGGATTTCCTGTACCAGCAGAAATGGAAGCAAGAGTTAGACTAATGGCAGGGCCCCAATAAAAACATAATTTCTAGAAGCTTTTCATTCTAATACAAAGCATAACCCAGTGCTGATTTCTGATGTTGCCAGTCCACGCATTTCATCATTTCTCATATCACAGAAAGGATTGCCAAAAGCTCATTTAACAGAATCCCTGCCACAGGTAAAAAGGCACAGCACAAACTGCACCTCTTACTCAACATAAACTTGAAATGACAGCTGGGTCTACTACAAAGCTCCATCATCTGCCTGCTAAACTAAACTGAACTCTTGATAGCTCCTCATGGAAGACATATACATAATGCACTTGACTAGAGGCTTACTGAAAACAGCAACAATGCGGTTTCTTTTTCAACAAGTTTTAAGGTGCAGCTGTTGTTAACTCTCTTTTTTCAGCATTTTTATCCCAGAGTGGCAACATTTAACTACACAGGATGAAAAAAAATCTTTCTCAAGTCTCTTGGCCTTGAGCACACAGCTCTACATTGCTGTAGAGGCTCAGCGGAGGATACCAAGTCCATGTGACATTTCTGTTGATATAAATTCACAGAAACATCATGCATCAAGCTGCTTGGTAAGGGATAAAATCACAGAAAACTGAAACAACTTGTTCTAGCATATAAAGCTGGGGTTTCAAGCCAACACACGTAAAAACAGGAAAAACAATATAGGACCTATTAACACTCTTTCACTCTTTGCCTTCAAACATTAACATGAGAGTGTGCTGTAAGGACAATAACTGCAGGATTGTGAATTCTGTTAGAATGTCAATCTTATATGCCAGAAAAATACTTTGGTGCCCAGAGCACAAACTGTGATGCCAGTAAACCTGACAATGAATTGTATTATGTGCCCACACACACAGTTTATCCATCCACTCCCCTCAAACACCTGAAAGACAAATCCCAAGAGCCATCCACAAATTGGTATTTTCAACAGCCACTGTGAAGAGTTAAAATTTTTCTATGGCAGTCATCCATGCCACTAGCTCCAGAAGATTAATTATTTGAATGAAAAAGGTAGAGTTGCACAGTGCTTTTAAAAAATACTGAGAACACTGCTTGTACAATTGTGAAGTTCCTACACAGTTCTGAAGTGACTGAGACTGAAAGGTGTTGTGACATGACAAGGGCCACAAGAATCTTGCATAAATTTGGCATAAGTCCATTTGCATAAGTTGATGCCCATGAATGGAAATAACAAGAGAATCCAACAGAAGGTTTCTCTGGTTCTAAATAATGTATTTGTGTATTTTCTGAGAAGCTATTTTTACAAGTGTGTTTGCAGTGTACATTGGTATTCTTTGAAATAAAAAAAAATCCTCCTGAAAAAATAAACCTGAAAACCCTTCTAAATATATTTGTTTCTCCTAGAGCCAACAGAAAACTTGAGAGCCTCTGCACAATTACTACTGGCACCATATAGACCAGAGTGGAGCAATACCATTATTATACTACTTACCTGTACCTACATTCCCAAAATGGATTTACTCAAAGAAATTAAAAGAAACTCTTGTAAGCTTTTAGCAACTGAGAAAACAAAGGATAAGAAGGTCAAAAATTAACATGCCATAAATCTATTTTGGACACTGCATTGTTTTTATTTTAGTAGTTAGGTAATTTCCACTTGTACAGAGGCACTGTTTCTGATCTGAGAATATAAAATCAGCTACTGCTATGGAAATGGGATAGGTGGAATACACAGGTGGAGAACTGCATGTCTGTAAAGGGATGCTGATACAACAGTGTCTGCTTCCACCTGTTCAGTGTTTTCCCAAAGAGAAAATGCTTCTAAGCTCCTTCTTGAGAAATGCCTGTATCTCCTCTGTGTGAAGTGATGCTCTGCACTTCAGCAAAGGAAATGTCCTACTTCTGTTGCCTGAAGTAATTCCACTGTGATTTGGATGACATAACCTGCTGAAAAATAACACCTCCCAGCTCCTGACTGCACAGGAAGGGCTTAATTTTGGCAACGTGCCTGTGATCCTGAAGAGCCTGGAAAAAAAGCTACAGGCAGACGGAGCCTCTCTGGAACACAGACTGAAGAGCGGCTGCTGAAGGAAAGCAGTGCACAGATCCCCTTCTTAATTAGGAAATACAGCCTGCATCCACGTGGCAGAATGGAAAAATACTAATGTATCATATCTCTGATGTGTTCAGATTGTTGTGGACATAGACCCCATAGATGGATGAAAATTAAGGTCTGAACCTGTGAAACAGGATTTTGCACAACAGTTAAAAACACAGGGCCACACACAAATATCAGGATCAGAAACACTGAAACCCAGTCCTTCATTCCTTGCAAGCCATCCATTCTGATAAAGTAATACAGGATTTTTCCTTTACTTTACTTTCAGACATTAAGAAGTTTCTTATGTAACTGCTATTGTTTCCTAACGGGTCAGTAAAATTTAGCATCTTTGCACCTTTGAGTGCACATTAAATTATTATAACAGGGGGTGGCTCATATAAATCTTTCTACGTTTTGATTGCTTTCATATATTAAATTACTCCTTCATTTAAAATAATAGCAAAAATGAAAAACAAAATTATGGTGCAAATTGATTGCAACTCTAAAGTACATTCACAGGCAACAAAATTCCAAAATGGGTTTTTCTGTCAAAAAAAAAATAAAAATCTTTAAGATCCAATAACTAGACCCTGAAGGCTAGAAACACTCGGAAGTTCTAAACAAGATGGGCACTTTCTCCAGAGTAGGGGCTTATATTTCATCCCAATTTTTAATTAACAATATCTATCTTCCTTTCCAAGAAAATCTGCCACAGAAAAAGATATGAACTAAAGGTGTGTATCATAATTACACCTGCCAAGTAGTCCTGCAAGGCAGCACAGTGCCCCTGTGAGGAACAATACTCTAGTTTTCTGGTCAGCATAATTACATAGAACAGCTGATCAAACACAGTGAGAACACTGAATATGTAAAGAATAGCTGTGATAAAGTGATTTGAACACACCATAAATAGTTACAAAGTCCACAGGTTTTTTCCTGAAAATAATTCAAAATTAGAGAATATAGTTTAGAATTGAAGGAGTCCTCAATACTGAGCAGTATTATCACTGTGAATTATAAACAAGTGCATAATAATGAGGGTTGAATTTAATCCAAATATTTTCCTCCTTCATAACCCGGCCACTGTTATTCTCTCAGCTGCTCCTGTGTCTGATTTTGCACAGAATTTAGAACAAATGTGAAGGTGCACTTTCAAACAGCCATGTTTTTATAGTGGGGGAAGGTATATGCTTAAAAATACAGCAACTTATCTCTCAGGAGCCACAAGATAAGCAGTTACCAAAGCCATAAAGGACGTGTCTTCCATCTCCTGCCAAATTTGCATTATCAGGCAGCCCATTCTACAGACAGTAACAAAAGCATGCAATTTCATACATTATTTTCTTTTTAAATCACTAAAAAACATGATGGATAATTAAAAGCATAGTCATGATTCTGGGTTTTTTTAAAATCTTAACTGTACTATCCATATCTTTGAGTAATTGCTGGATCTTTGCATCATTCATTGGACTGGAGAGTTTTGACTAAAAACTGGTTTTATTCTCCAACCTTATCCTCCAAACCTTACTAAATGAATGTTATATATTTTGTACTTAAAGTTTAGTCTCCCAGATGGCTTTTCTGCTCACCTAAATTTTAGCAACCTAGTTCCCCTTAATTGCAATAAAATGCAAATGTTACAACAAAATGAAAATATCAGGAACATCCATCAGCTCAGTATTAATGATGATTGTTAATTTAAAAAAATTATTTAGTAGCTATAGAAGATAAAAAAGGTCTTCAGTTGTGTAGGACAAATCACACCTGACTAACCTGATTTTCTTCTACCTGTCTGTGTGACTAAGTGAGGGACAATGTGTGTTCCATGTCCCAGGGCCTCCAAAACATGGCTGGAGGCAAATTAGGGAGCTACAGGCTGGGTAAGTGGCTCACAAAGCAGGTGGCAAATGAGCTGGGCTGTGAGGCCCAGAGCCTGCTGCTGCTGATGACAGGCAGCAGCTCCCCTGACAACCCCCAGTGCCTTCATGAGTGATCTGAACAACGGGACAGACAGCACTCCAGCAGCTCAGAGACCTATGGAATTTGGGGAAGACATGAACTGGATCAAGCTATGTGAAAAAACCCCCAAACCAGCCCAGCTGGGCTGAGTGAGGGTGAGCAGGAGTGCAGAAGCAGGAGGTGGGAAGCAGGCATTCCCTGTGTGCAGCCCTTGTGAGACCTGCACTGCTGGAGCACTCTGCCCAGTTTTAGGCTCCCCAGTACAAGAAAGGCACTGAAAATCTGAACAGACTGACAGATGCAAGGGGAGAGAGTGAGAGAAAAGTGTTTGTTCAGCTGAAAAGGAAAGGCTTGTATCACGGCTGGGGGCTGTGTACAAATCACAAACAGGATGGGACTGTGAGGAACGTGCCTTGAGCTGTTCTATTTTCCAGCATCAGCCTCATTACATGGTTATGACAATGGGAAGATGCCAGCAGCTCACATCCCAGGCAGCAGACCAAGAACTTCATGTTACAACTTACTTTATAAGTTTTTTGACCAATCACACAAGGCAAAAGCATATTGACAGTAGTTTTATCCAACCACTGTAAGCACACGCCCCTTCGGTTAAAACAATGCTTGCTTATTTTGAATACAATACCTGCCTGTAAGCCTTCAGATAATAATAATAATCATCATCATCATCATCTTATCATCATCATCATCATCATCATCATCTTATTAAGCTTAGAACTTCCTAACATCTCGCTAGATATACATTTTTTCAGATCAGGGAGTTATTTTAGACAAGTGTTAATACCCAGACCATTGTTCCATTTGTCCTTACTTTTCTACTTTTCACATATTTTTTCTGCTGACTTATTTTATGGGTACTGCTTAGCTCTAATCACAGTTCTGCTGTCTCTGAGGCCTGACTTTCACAGCTTTCCCAAAAC